TTGTAAACTTCTCCAACCTATAGTCAATGCTTAGAAAGGCCCCTCTTCTGATCCTAAGCTGATCTCAATGATTAAATTCTAGACTTAATGAAAATTCTCTAATTTACGGAACCGAATTCTGATTTAAAACGAACGTTTACCATAAAATCGAAAATTCCAAAAATTTTGGATTTTCCCTCTTTTGCTTTTTGCATTTCTTTTTTTAATTTTTAATGCTGAATATTTTAACTTTTAATAATGATCTTGGAACATGTTAAAACAATCCAAGAAAATAAAATTTTTGGAAACAAAATCGGACTTAATTACCGACTATAACCGAACACCGAAAAACTCGAACTTGCGAATATAATTTCGAATATACTCTTAATAATATAAATAGACCTTCTTATCTAAATAATTTCTACTTACTCCTTATAACTTATCAATCAAATCATATACATCACAAAAAATACTTAGGCACTAACATTTACTCGACTAACTCAATTTATGGAAAAACAATTCCGATTTCACTTTAATGTCGAGCCAAGTGAATCAGTTCTATTTATTAACTGAACGGTTCATTTCATTATCTTGATTACTTAAACACTTAGAAAAATTCTAAGTATTTAATACTAAGGCTCAACTATAACTTAGGAATTTGTCGGCACTGTTAACTTGAACCGAGCTTAATTTACTTATAAGGCCAACCTTTGCTAAATTATACTTCCAAATTAATGGATTGATCTTGACCTTAAAATAAAATTCTAAGAGATTTATTAAGGCTTGGAAATATAAAAGATCATTATTAATAAAAGTAAAATAGTTCTAACTTAGAACTTAATTAATTACTTTTATTAATTACTGAATGAGATATTACACCATTCACCCCTTCTCATCCGGTGCCGATTTTTGAACACCACCCGCCGCTCTTCCTTTAGGTTCCAGAGCATGTGGGTTCGCCACCACTCCTTCCACGACACTGTCAGGGATTCCTGGCTTCAGCCGACTGGGCTCTTCGGGATGCGCAATATCGAAGCGAAGCTCGGCAGACTACGGCGTCGGTTGAGACAGTGGAACTGGGATGTCTTTGGAAACCTTCATCAGCGCCTTTCTGCAGCTCAGAGTGCGCACGCGGTGGCTGAGCGGGCCTATGATCTGGACCCCACTCCAGAGAATAGGACTGCGATGCACCGCTACCACGCCGAGTACCAGCTCCGACTCCTTATGGAGGAGGACTTTTGAAAGCAGAAGGCGGCCGTTCGCTGGGTGGCCGAGGGCGAGCGGAATACTAGGTTCTTTCAAGGCTAAGTTAGGCAGAAGCGTGCTAAGTCGTATATCCATAGTATCGAGGATGATGGGTCATCCCTGACCCAAGAGTCTCAGATTCGGGAGTCGGCTGTTGCTCACTTCCAAACCCTCTTCACCTCTGACAGAGGGTCCCTCGTTGCCCCGACCGCTTCTTTCTTCTCCACCATCCCTCCTTCAGTCGATCTTATTAGCCTCTGTGAGCTCCCGAGTAGGGAGGAGGATAGGGATGTTGTCTTCGGGATTGATCCCAATAACGTTTCTGGCCCGGATGGTTTCTCGTCTCTCTTCTATCAGGTCTGCTGGGATTTAGTCGAGCCTGACGTCGATGAGGCAATGTTGAATTTTTTCTCTGGTCACAGGATGCCGGATTCCTTCACGTCTACCTCCATCGTCTTGATCCCCAAAAGACCCAACCCGAGCTCTTGGTCCGATTACAGGTCCATCGGCCTGTGTAACGTGACCAATAAGCTCATTTCAAAGATTCTTAACGGCCGCCTTTCCCCTCTTCTCCCCTCCCTCATCTCTCCGAACCAGAGTGGCTTCGTCAAGGATCGGGTCATTAGTGATAATATTCTTCTGGCCCAAGAGATGATCCACGACATCTCCGTGCGGATTGGATGCGAGCTCCGAATATTGCGCTGAAGCTAGATATGGCTAAGGCTTATAATAGGGTGGAGTGGCCGTTTCTGAGGGAGGCACTGGCTAGGATGGAATTCCCTGAGCGTTGGATCAGTTTTTTGGAGGCGTGTGTGGAGCACTGCACATTCTCGGTCCTGGTTAATGGCAGCCCCACCGACTTTTTTCCCTCCTCTAGAGGTCTTAGACAGGGCGACCCCCTTTCCCCTTCCCTATTCGTTCTTGCGGCGGACTACCTCTCTCGCTGCCTTGATGGCTTCATCTGCGACTCTCCTTGGATGATCTACAGCACCCGCAGCTATGGTCCTCCCATCTTTCACCTCTCTTATGCGGATGACATCATCATCTTCACCCGGGCGGATGATGATGGACTTGTCGAGCTTATGCACCTTCCGGAGCATTATGGCTCGGTCACCGGCTAACTGGTCAGTGTGCAGAAAAGCACCTTCACCCTCTCCTCTTCCAACATGGACAGGCGGGCTCAGCGGGTCCACGAGATTACTGGCTTTGCGCGCGGTACCTGCCCATTACCTACCTTGGTATCCCTTTATATAAGGGCAACCTCACGAGAGCGCTATTTGCTGGCGTCAGAGGATGATCGACAGGATCTCTGGTTGGTCGCATAGACATCTTTCTTTCGGTGGTCGGCTTGCGCTGATCAAGAGCACTCTTAGCTCCCGTCCGATTCATTTGCTTATGGTCCTCGACCCCCCTAGGTCTACTCTTGACGAGAATGACCAGATTATGGCTCGTTATTTCTGGGGTTATGAGGACAGTTCCTGGAGGGGGAGACGTACCCACTGGATGAGTTGGGACTCTATCTGCCGGCCCTTCTCTGAGGGTGGCCTTGGCATCCGCCGCCTCAGGGATATTTTTACAGCTTTCTCCTACAAGCTGTGGTGGCACTTCAGGGAGGGAAAGTCGCTTTGGGCTCAGTACCTTCGCGGAAAGTACTGCCCTAGACGTGCTAACCACTCTTGTTGGGTGACGGCTGTTGATCATGATAGCAGACAGTGGCGGCGCCTCACTAGGATTGGTAGGCGTGCCCAGGATCACATCTTTTGGGTTTTGGGCGAGGGTGAGGTTAGTTTCTAGGATGAGTGGTGGTTAAGTGATAGGCCGTTGTCTAGGGATAGGCAGGTGACGCATTCCCCCTACCTTCTTGTGAGTGACCTTTGGACAGATGGGTCATGGGATAGGGGAAAGCTTGATAGGGAGTTGGGCTCTGGTGCGAGTTTTAGCGAGCATTTATTAGATCAGATCCAGTAGATCCTCATCTCAGGGGACGGTTCGGATGGCATGAGGTGTAGACTTACATCATCGAGTGTGTTTTCTACTACCTCGGCTTGGGAGCAGATCAGGCTGAGAGATCGGCCTAATCTTCTCTTCGGGGCCATCTAGAGCGACCTTTTCACCCCTACCATTTCGATGTTCCTTTGGTGCCTCCTCTTGCGCCGGATACCCGTGGATACTGTGTTACACGCGAGGGGGATCTCCTTCCCCTCTCGGTGTGTGTGTTGTTCTGAGACTGGGCGTCATGAGACCGAGACCTTTACCCACCTTTTTCTAGAGAGTGATCTCGTGAGGAGAGTGTGGGAGCATTTTGCCACTTAGACCCATATATCCCTACCCACCACAAACAGTTTCTTTGAGCTCCTGAGTTTTTTCTCACAGAGCACACACCTTAGACACGTGGACTTCCTTATTCTTGTCTGATCCTTTGGTTCACCTGGACGGAGAGGAATAGTGCGAAGCATAGGGATATAACTTTTTTGTTTTCTCACATTGTTTTGCAGGTAGAGAGACACATTTCACTCCTCATAGCATCGGGCAGGCTCACGGCCCGAGACTGGACAGGCTGCACTCCGCCACACCGTTACATGGTGGCTCCCCCACCGCCTGTTCAGCCCCTTCGACGCAGAGCTGTTGTTTGGCTTCGACCTGACTCTCCGTGGGTCAAGCTGAACACAAATGGCTCTTTTGATTGCCATACCAGAGTTGCCGGAGGAGGAGGCTTGATCTGGGACCACAGTGGCGCCCTTATCACCGCTTTCCACGCGCCCCTTCAGGCCTCCTCGAGCTACGACGCAGAGATTCAGGCATTACAGATCGGCCTTCAGATTGTTGTCCACCTTTCTAGTCATATTTGGATCGAGCTGGACGCAGCGGCTGTCGCCACCCTCCTGACTTCGGGCCACCAGGGCTCGTGGCAGATTCAGCACCCGCTTATGCGCATAAGAGCTCTACTTTGGTCTGTCTACCACAGGATCACGCACATTTTCCGTGAGGGGAACAAACCTGCGGACTACCTTGCTAGCCTTGGCGCCACCATACCAGACCCACACACGTTTCAGACCGACACTGCTCCACTCCGCCTTCGCACTCTTGTACGGATGGACCAGCTTGGATATCCATCGTTCCGCTTTCAGTAGATTAGGTTTATTGCTCTCAGTAGATTAGACTTTTATTACCGGGCACCTGTTAGCCCGAAGACAGACTTTGCATTGTTATTTCTTTGTTGTTTTTCTTTTGAGACCTTGTAGACTGTAGACTGTTGATTTGTTGGGCCCCCGTTTTGGGGTCTTGATCTATGCACAGGTTGGGGATCCAGCCCAATCTCCCATCCTTCCGGGGCGTTGTTTGTTTAAAAAAAAAAAAAAAAAAAAAAAAAAACCTAGCAACTACAGAGAACTAACCTAGCAACTACAGAGAACTAACCTAGCTAGTTGGAAGGTTAGTTGTCAACGGTCAATGCCGGAAGTCAATGAATTTTCGCCGGAAGTCAACGGATCAAAATAATATTTAAATAATTAAAATAATAAAAAGAAAATAGTAAATGTTGGCCAGATGTACCAATTCTTGTGGCTAAAAATGAGTCTCACGTCTTCATTTTAAAAAAGCGGCCGCATTTGAACCAATCCCTTATATATAATAATTTTATATGGATGTTCATCACAACTGAAAGTTTTGCCATCCTCTTTTAGTAACTGGCAAAGAAACCTTATCTTATTTGAAATTTCCAAAAATAGAAGTAGACATTTTATTTAGAAATTAGAAGTAAGGAAAAAGTACATATTTCACCACCCAAATTTCTTCTCCCATGTGTAATCATCCATGCTAAAGTAAAAACCTTTATCTGCAATTAACCAGTAACACTGACCAGTTTTAAAACAACTCAAGCCCTCAACTGAAGTGTTGAATGCAACAAAATGTTTAGGACGTTGACCTCGTTTAACATCACAGTAGAAAAGAGTAGAACCAAAAACGTTAATCTTGAAACGCCAAAAATATTCTTGGTCAACCCAAAGCACGTGCGTTCCAAGATCATCATCTGCTGATCGACAATGAACCTTCATCAATTTGGGTCGCTTCTCCAGCCCATTTACTATATGTACATGGTATGTTTCCCCTACTATCCAATGTCTTCCTTCTTCAGGTATTTGAACTTGGCACATGAAAGCTGAGAGGCCCGCCATAATCGTAATGGCAACCAAGCTGATTGGGATGCAATGCATGATGGTTGGCAGTACTACTCTTTCAGACTTATATATTAGTTGTTGTCTTGCAAGAATAATGTGACAATTTAAAGGATATAATATTTTCCATTTTGAAAAAATATTAGATGTAGCATTTATCATTATGCACATAAAAATTTCATGTAAAATCCTTGAACATTAAAGTGAATTTGCCAACTAAAATCTTCCTGATCTCTAGGGAATAAAAATAGTAAATGTGTGGGTTACGTTTTCGGATTTCTTCTGGGGAAATATGGCAATATGTTTTAAATATCTTTAGTGAATAGTAGAAAACAATCATAATCATATCCTAATTGTTGTTACTATAATTCATCTCTGGCCCTTTCATATTACTTTTCATCACTTCAAAAATTAGTGAAATGATATTTATATTTTATTTTATTGTTAACTCATATTTTTGGTACATGAAGAGGATACTGTAAGATCCAGAAAAGCATTAAACCTAACTAATGCCTCTATATTCTATATACTAGTACGATACTAGTATCGTACTACACATGTATTTAAATATAGTAATATTTGTATAATAAAAAATTAAAACCATTTGTAGTTTAATTGTGAAATTATGTTTAATGAATATACAACAATTAACAAAGTAATAAATAATTCAATATGGCGTCTACATTTTTTCATTAAATTTATCAAATGATATTTTTTAATTATACTTTTTAAATTATATATGTCTAAAAAATATTATTTAAAACTCCATATATCTAATTCGATTTTTTTTTAAAAAAAAAAATTAAGTTTTATTGTTGTGATTATATTTTATATTTATAGAGTCGGTGTCTCTCGTTTACTAATTTTTCAACTTTTTTAATTTTATATAATTTAATAATTTAGAATATTAATTTACGCAGAAACGTATCATTTTATAAATTTATGAAACGAAAATTATTTTATTATATTTAATTATGATATCCCTTTATATTTTACATTTTAAACAAAATAATAACATTTAGCTCCTTATATAATATATTTAAATCGAGAAACAATATTTTATAATATTTATTATAATTTATTGTATGTAATACTTAGTTTCCATATTGTAACACCCGCTTATTTTTCATAAGAAAATACTCGGTTTCCAAAATTCGAGTTAAATTTTTCAAAAATATTTTCAAATTAAAACTCTCTTGGACGTTACTCAAAATTTCTTTCTTACTAATAACTTGAATCAAAATAAACTTTCTTTCACAAAGTATTGAACACATAATTTAAAAATCTCTTTACAAAACCAAAGATTTCGATATTAATTCAAAACACACAAAGTCTAATAACTTAATGTGGAAGCAAAATATTTGCTAAATACATCTATGACCACCCTCGTCTCTTCGTGCCGTCGTCAGCTACTTAACCTGAAAAATGTTAATGTATTGGGGTGAGCAAACACAAGGTCACCGTGGGAATTATGCAATATATATTCATCATAATAACAGATTACATAACTTCAATATATATTGACCTACAAAGAAATTCAACCATCTCAACTTCTTCATTCGTCAGTTCGTCTCATGTGTACACACTTTTACCGTCGACTCGCCTTCACGTAGTCACAGGCGCTAAACGACAGGAGCTCACACTGGAGTTGCCACACAGTCAATGCATCACACAACCATTGCATTACACCCCTCAGTCATTTTGTCACACGGTCATTACGTCACACAGTCAAATTCATCACATAGCACATAGTCATATACATACATCAATTATGAAACCATGTGATTATAAAGAATAAAAGCATAGTAGTTTAGAAACACCTACCTCAGATCAGCTGATGCTAAAATTGTAGATACTACACATAGTCACTCGAGGCTCGATTCCTTGAAATCTGCAATTTAAGGCAAGAACACTTTTATAAATAACATGCCCTTAAACTAGAAAATTATTGAAATTAACTTAATCAATAACTTTATTCATTAAGCACTTCTTAAAATTTAGTGGAACTCGGAACTCTGGAAAAATGTTCACGAGGCTAAAATAAGGTTCAGCACCAAAAATGGTTCACACAACTCAAAAGTGGCTAAACGACTCAGGTTAGGCTCGCGGGTTGGCGCTGGCTTGAGTCTGACCACGCGGGCACCAATCGCGGGCTGCGTGTAGCGCGGCGCCTACGCTCTGCTGGCTTCGCGCCGGTGAGACCGACTAGCTACGGGTCGACCTAGCCGCGTCTAGGCACGGGCTGCGCGCCTAGCCACAACTGCGCGCCCGGTCATGGGTTGCGCACCTGCAGGATGAGCGTCTGGACATGTTACGGTGTCATCTAAGGGGTGGCATGCTCGCTTGCGCTGCTGACGCGGGGTGTTGGAACATGCGCGCACACACATGCTCGGACACCCACTGCAGGGTCGAGGTCTGGTCGCACTGCGCGAGTCGATGGTTGGCTGCGGCTGCTTTTAGGTCTTGACATTGCTGGTGATGGGGGGCGCTGTCTGCCAGCAACCCGAAGGTTGCTAGCGGACTCGGCGCGGCGTGCGCACCGCACCTGGCACGCGACACCCTCACCGTAATGTTGCCCGGTCGCTTTTGGTGCCACATGACCTAGCATCTCTCAGTGCGGCGCATGGCCTGGCCAACTGCGAGGCTGCTCCCTGCCTGGGCTGGCACTTGGTCCGAGGTTCAAGGTACAACAACAATAATCATGCTAGTGTTTTTCTTCAAAATTTTCCAAGGTTTCCAACACAATTCCAAGGCAACAAAACAAGGTTACATGTCCACTATTTTCACACAATTTATCAATTCTCTCAAGAACCAAACTTCACAATAAAATGATCTATTGCACGAAATAAAAAGAGGATTTTCTTGAGGTTCACCTCTCTTCAGGAATCTACAAGCAAAGGAGATGAGGAGTCGAGTCGAGAGGGCTTGGCACGGCTATAGTGCTCTCAGTCCCGGTTCCCCCGCTCCTCGGCTGCTCGCGCTTATGGTGGATCTTGGCTACTCGTGCACACGCTCGTGGTGGCTGACGCTAGTGGTTGTTCGCGTGTCGACAAGGCGGCTTGCGGTTGAAGTGGCGGAAGACTCGGTTTGATGCGCTCCCAACTCAAGGCTCGTGTAGCGTTTTCGGTGTATAGGTGCTCGCGATGGGCTACTGCAGTCGGCAGCGTGCAGCTCGCTGCGACTCTCGCAGTTGTTGGGCCGTGGCGGTGAGAGGGGATTTTTAGGGAGAAAAATAGAGGATTTATAGCATACTTTTGGGACAATTTTGAGGGCTTACGAAACTGATTTACTTGCTACTGAAAGGCCTATTTTTGTTCTCAAGTGAGGAGTCTTGGGGGAAAAGAAAAAAGGGAAATTTTCAGTTATCCTACATGATTATTAAAATATTGCAAAATTACCATTCATACATAATTAATTGTGTATATACCTAATAGACAATAATTAATTACATTAGTGCCTAAAAAATAAGTTACATATCTCCATTCCTATTTGATAGGAACAAATCACGCAGCAAAGACGTTCCTCTCCCAAAAAAATTCCTCTGAAAGTTCCCAAAATTTTGTGACCTTCCTCAGCAAGAAGTAGAGCGGCCAGTTTTTCGGCGATCTCGATCGAAAAAGAGAACCCGCCACCATCTCTCTTTTTCTCTCACTGTTCAACTCACCACCAATCGTCATCATCCCTTCCTCTTATCTTTCCCGTCGCCGCCAATCTCCAAGCTGCGACCACCCAGACGCGCCGCGACACCATCACCATCATCTCGTCATCTCCTCCTCCACCATCCTCTGAACGACGCGCAGACCAATAGCCGGCGAGCCCCTCCACCGCGCAGTACCCCCGACCGTCGCCTGCTCGCAAGTCCTCCGCCGTGAACTCATCTCTGTTCGCGAGCAGCAAGCCGCGAGTCTCTGCAAATCTGACGCCGCGAGCCTCCCGCCGGCGAGTATCCTCCGCGTGGACCTGCGAATTTCGATCAGAACCAGTCGCGAGTCCTCTGCGACGAGACCCCAGCAACGCCATGACCCGCTCTCCTCCCACGCCGTGAGTCACTGCCCAGCGCCGCCTCCATCTCGCGAAGAATTCCGGCGACCCTTGTTCACGCGTGAATTGCGGCTTCCGGCGAACCCTGTCACGACCAGACGCCGCGACCAGCCTCTTCCTCCGGCGATTAGGACCGCCGCGAGCAGACCCCGCGAGCCGTCGTCCTCAGCCTCTGCGGCCCGCTTTCCCTCCACCGTGACAGTCCTTTCCGGCCAAGTATATATCTTAAGTATATTTTATGTATATATGGGTTCTAAAATCGATTTTGAGAAACGATTGAAACTCGAGTGTTATTTAACGTATATTTTATGTATATATGTGTCCTGGTTGGCTTGAATTACTAGAATCTCGAGTGTATATTTTATGTATATTTTATGTATATGTGTGTTGTATAACTTTGATATATATTGTATATACCCGTAACATATACCCGAAACATATAATGAAAAAATACTGTGTATACCCGCTACATATAGTATATGTTAGTATATATTAGTATATGTTGCAATGAAAAACATGTCTTCCATAAAAAAATTATGTCTTCTAATTCACGCGGCTGTCCAGATCGGTATATGTTGCGTTTATTCTAGTATATATTCAGTATATGTTGCAATGGAAAACATGTCTTTCATGAAAATTTTATGTCTTCTTTTTTTTTTGTAAGTTTAACATTAATTGAAACGTACGTGAATTGATAGTTTTTTCATTAATGATATATGTGTTGTTTTCAACAGAAAAATCTTTTAATATACCAAACATAAACTAATTTGTACATAACTAATATACCAAATATAAACTAATTTGTACAGAAAATATATTGAGTATAAACCATACATATACAAAAAAAAAAAAAATCATCGGTTTATGCTTTGTCAATATAAAACCATACATACATATAAGGTAGCCCTTATACAGAACATATACCTTATATATCCACAACATATACCCGATTAATTCATGGCCCCCACCCACAGTCTCCAATTTCCAGTTTTTTCTTCCATCGTCTCGAACTCTTCTGCTTCACCACCTCCATCGCGTACTCCACTTGGAACAGCCGCCCCGCCGGCGACGAGACCCCAGCAACGCCACGACCCGCTCTCCTCCCACGCCGTGAGTCGCTGCCCAGCGCCGCCTCCATCTCGAGAAGAATTCCGGCGACCCTTGTTCACGCGTTAATTGCGGCTTCCGGCGAACCCTGTCACGACCAGACGCCGCGACCAGCCTCTTCCTCCGGCGATTAGGACCGCCACGAGCAGACCCCGCGAGCCGTCGTATCTTTAATAACAAATATTTAATATGTCAAGCAGGTATAGGAAGTTTGGCCATTGAATCTTGATTTGGGGAAAGTTTCTTGAGCAGGTTTTGTTGCAGAGTGGAAGGAGATTGAAAAAAAAAAAAAAAAAAAAAAAAAAAACTCCCATTAGCATTTAAAGCCTTGATAACGGTTCTTGTAGCATGTTAGGTACAATTGAAAATTTTCTTTGTCATTTATGTAATTTTACAAATAAAAATAGAAGGGGTTCAAAAGTGATATTAAAATGAATTCTATTAGTGGGGGGTGTAATTTCCTCAAGAAAAAATGAGGGGAGAAGGTAAACACAATTTGCCTTGGTAGGGGTTTTTTTTGGGGCGGATTCTTGGTGATTGGGGCTGATTTGGAGGCTCTTAAAGGTAAATTAGATCTAACTAGATCATGCCATAAATAGCTACAAAGGTTTGAATTTCAAAGATTTGAAACTTTGGTGCCAAAGCTTTAGGCACAAAAGTTGGACGACTCAAGGCTCTTAAGGGCCAAAAATCATAAGGCAAGGGCCGAAATCTTGTGGACGCTTAGGCTGAAAAACTTGGGCTTGAGCTAGGATAATTAGGCTTAGAAGAATTCGCAAAGGCTTGGTATTCGAATTAAAACAACCGAACGATTTTTCGATATAGAACGAAAGTAATGAAATTTGGAATAATTTAAGTAGACGAGGACATTTACGAAAATTATTCATTCACTAGATTTAATAGATGAGGATGTGTAAATAATCTTCACGAATTTGAAAACAATATTTCAATCGAACTAACATAACAAGCAATAAGCACAAATTCACACAGGCAATAAAAGTGCAACACAAGTATAACAAATGTATCGACTCTTAAAAATCGAGCGGGACAATACATATATTTTATCCAAAATCTATGGAAAAAATAGAATAAATTAATTATTTTAAGATGTATTGATGAATTAGATTTAATTTTTTATAAAATAATTTATATTATTAATTGATATTTTATAAATTTATATGATAACAAAATTAAATTTTTTATAAAGATAGATGAAATTGTTTATATTTTATATATGCAATATGGATGTCAAATCGAAGATCGTTAAAATATGATTATTTTAATATATCATAAATAAAAAATAAAATACAAATAAAAAAGTTAATAAAGTTTTATATATAAAAAAGAATACTAATTCATGATAATTAATATATGAATTAAATAAGTAAAGGTAAAAATTGTATATGATAACTTAAGAAAAAAGGAAACCCAAAATAATTTATAGTAATTCGCAAGCTTAAAAGTCAAAACTAAAAATGTACATTTGTCATTACGAAGCACAGATTTTTGACAAATAACTTACGAAGCACACGAGACTGCCACTTAGTCTCAGCGCAATTGGTAATCTATCATCTATATTTATATAATAAGGTGTACCATTTACGAAATTTAGTAAGTTGAAAAGTCAATGCAATAAATGCATTACTATATTGAGCAACATAATATAATATCATATCTATACTTATATTAAAGGGGGTACTATTTACCAAATTAAGTAGCCAGAAAAGTCAACGGCATTTATTGTATTACTATTTTCGTATTATATTATATAACAGGATATTCTATTTACTACATTTATTATCCAGAAAAGTCAACTGCATTAAATGTCATTACTATTTTGGTATTATAATATTTTATTTATTTAATTGATTTATTTATTTATTTTATTTTAAAAAGGTAAGTATAATAAAAAGATTTTAATAATAAAAAAATTAAATACCAAATAAAAATGTACACTTTGACTTATTTGATCATATTTGGTATTTGATTATACCAAATATATTCCTATTTAGTATATACATTAAATACTTACTAAAGTATTTATTTGTTTTATTTGTCAAAGTTAAGTATAGATTTGTTTATATTATCAAATCATAAAAAATATTAAATCCATATTGTAAAAAAAAAAATTCATATAATTTTATAACAATTTTACTACACTATTTAACAATATTCTTTTTTTATTATATAATAAAATAATAATTAAATATTATATGGTGAACAACAATAAGTAAAACTGTTACTTTCTCTTATATCAAGGGATAAATTTATATGCTAAAATTAAATTTTTATTAGTATAAATGTTTTAGTGGAATAATATATAAATTATTTTACAAGCTAGCCCTAACATGCTCATATTTAATGTTTTAAAAGATGTAGAAAAAAAACTTATAATAACTCTATTGTTTTTTAGACTTAAACGTTGATTAAAAGAGGTAAAAANNNCNAA